TTGGCTAGTCAGTTTGGCCATTCCTTTTTTAACACTAGTGTACAAACCAAGTAGGTAGGACAATAGTGACGAGTCACTTGAGTGCGGTGTTTGCACCAATGCGTCGAGTCTGCAGAAAGATAAATTCATTGTTAAATCCCAAAATTATATTACATGTATAACCAAAGATTAACAAGAAACTGTAAGGTTTCCATGGATAATTGATTAATACACTAACAGCATACGTACCGTTTTATAAACCGCTTTTCCATTTCTTGAAATCGCTTTTCCATCAAGCTCGCACTTTTATTGTGTCTGTCAAGAAAGAAAAAGACACGCATCGCCAGCAGCTATAAAATCCCAACTGTTACAGACTAGCAGTCATCCTTTGTTCGTAAATTAATTCGTACTTAGCTTTTTTTGGATCGGTCAGGAATAAAGCAAAACAAATTCACATTGAGATTAGACGATGAACCTATAATGAAACAAACGCCACAACGGATAACGAGAAAAATAAACATGGAGAGATGAAAATAAAGGAAAAAAAGGAAATGGGAAAGGATTAGGAATGGACGGAGGGACGGACGAACAAACAAAGGAACGAATGAATGAATGGAATGAATGAATGAATGATTGAATGAATGAAATGAATGAATGAATGAATGAATGAATGAATGGAATGAATGAATGAATGAATGAATGAATGAATGAATGAATGAATGAATGAATGAATGAATGAATGAATGAATGAATGAATGAATGAATGAATGAATGAATGAATGAATGAATGAATGAATGAATGAATGAATGAATGAATGAATGAATGAATGAATGAATGAATGAATGAATGAAATGAATGAATGAATGAAATGAATGAATGAATAAATGAATGAATGAATGAATGAATGAATGAATGAATGAATGAATGAATGAATGAATGAATGAATGAATGAATGAATGAATGAATGAATGAATGAATGAATGAATGAATGAATGAATGAATGAATGAATGAATGAATGAATGAATGAATGAATGAATGAATGAATGAATGAATGAATGAATGAATGAATGAATGAATGAATGAATGAATGAATGAATGAATGAATGAATGAATGAATGAATGAATGAATGAATGAATGAATGAATGAATGAATGAATGAATGAATGAATGAATGAATGAATGAATGAATGAATGAATGAATGAATGAATGAATGAATGAATGAATGAATGAATGAATGAATGAATGAATGAATGAATGAAATGAAATGAATGAATGAAATGAAATGAAATGAAATGAATGAATGAATGAATGAATGAATGAATGAATGAATGAATGAATGAATGAATGAATGAATGAATGAATGAATGAATGAATGAAATGAATGAATGAATGAATGAATGAATGAATGAATGAATGAATGAATGAATGAATGAATGAATGAATGAATGAATGAATGAATGAATGAATGAATGAATGAATGAATGAATGAATGAATGAATGAATGAATGAATGAATGAATGAATGAATGAATGAATGAATGAATGAATGAATGAATGAATGAATGAATGAATGAATGAATGAATGAATGAATGAAATGAATGAATGAATGAATGAATGAATGAATGAATGAATGAATGAAATGAATGAATGAATGAATGAATGAATGAATGAATGAATGAATGAATGAAATGAATGAATGAATGAATGAATGAATGAATGAATGAATGAATGAATGAATGAATGAATGAATGAATGAATGAATGAATGAATGAATGAATGAATGAAATGAATGAATGAATGAATGAAATGAATGAATGAATGAATGAATGAATGAATGAATGAATGAATGAATGAATGAATGAATGAATGAATGAAATGAATGAATGAATGAATGAATGAATGAATGAATGAATGAAATGAATGAATGAAAATGAAATGAATGAAATGAATGAAATGAATGAATGAATGAATGAATGAATGAATGAATGAATGAATGAATGAATGAATGAATGAATGAATGAATGAATGAATGAATGAATGAATGAATGAATGAATGAATGAATGAATGAATGAATGAATGAATGAATGAATGAATGAATGAATGAATGAATGAATGAATGAATGAATGAATGAATGAATGAATGAATGAATGAATGAATGAATGAATGAATGAATGAATGAATGAAATGAATGAATGAATGAATGAATGAATGAATGAATGAATGAATGAATGAATGAATGAATGAATGAATGAATGAATGAATGAATGAAATGAATGAATGAATGAATGAATGAAATGAATGAATGAATGAATGAATGAATGAATGAATGAATGAATGAATGAATGAATGAATGAATGAATGAATGAATGAATGAATGAAATGAATGAATGAATGAATGAATGAATGAATGAATGAATGAATGAATGAATGAATGAATGAATGAATGAATGAATGAATGAATGAATGAATGAATGAATGAAATGAATGAATGAATGAATGAATGAATGAATGAATGAATGAATGAATGAATGAATGAATGATTGAATGAATGAATGAATGAATGAATGAATGAATGAATGAATGAATGAATGAATGAATGAATGAATGAATGAATGAATGAATGAATGAATGAATGAATGAATGAATGAATGAATGAATGAATGAATGAATGAATGAATGAATGAATGAATGAATGAATGAATGAATGAATGAATGAATGAATGAATGAATGAATGAATGAATGAATGAATGAAGGAATGAAATGAATGAATGAATGAAAATGAATGAATGAATGAATGAATGAATGAATGAATGAATGAATGAATGAATGAATGAATGAATGAATGAATGATTGAATGAATGAATGAATGAATGAATGAATGAAGGAATGAATGAATGAATGAATGAATGAATGAATGAATGAATGAATGAATGAATGAATGAATGAAGGAATGAAGGAAGGAATGAATGAAGGAATGAAGGAATGAAGGAATGAAGGAATGAAGGAATGAAGGAATGAAGGAATGAAGGAATGAAGGAATGAAGGAATGAAGGAATGAAGGAATGAAGGAATGAAGGAATGAAGGAATGAAGGAATGAAGGAATGAAGGAATGAATGAATGAATGAAGGAATGAAGGAATGAAGGAATGAAGGAATGAAGGAATGAAGGAATGAATGAATGAATGAATGAAGGAATGAAGGAATGAAGGAATGAATGAATGAAGGAATGAAGGAATGAATGGGAATGAAGGAATGAAGGAATGAAGGAATGAATGAATGAATGAATGAATGAATGAATGAATGAATGAATGAATGAATGAATGAATGAATGAAGGAATGAATGAATGAATGGATACAATGGATGGATGGATGGATGAATACAAGAATGAAGGAAAGAAGGAAGAATGAAATGGATGGATGGAGGGAGGGAGGGAGGAATAAACTAATCACCCCCGGAAACTGAAAAGGTGATCGCGGATTTTTTGACTGGTTGACTACTAGCTATTGATGCGCGACTGGTGAAAGAGTAGCTGGAAGTGTTCGTGGTGGTTATTAGCTACAAGCCTGCCCTGTTTACGTTTTTATCGGTGTCGTGTTAACGTCTTCCAAAGTTTATATCAACTTAGCACGATCAGCTTTGCAGATTTTATGTTCTCTTGGTATATTTTTGCTTATCAGATTTCCTTTAGATACTACGTCCTGCGAAAAATTCGCTTGCGGTCCTTTGAAGTTAATGCCATTTCAGTTGTTAAATGTTAGCTAATAACCCTGCTAGAAAATTTCACTGTATTCAATGGACTAAGATAGGGAGAGATTATTGAAATCAGCTTCCTTTTCGAAAAGGTCTGGGTTTTTTTGTTTGGACTATTAAATTTTTCGATTCTTTGTCTTTTGCCTGGTATACGTCCTCTTCATCAGCACTTATAGATCCATTCGGTGGTGATATTTTTCTTTATGGCTCTTTCGTTTTATTTAGTTTAGACTGTTTTTGAAAGTTGGTCCTTTTGCCAAGGTTTGATGTCTCCGTAGATCACACGCCATGAGATTTAGACCCTCTCATGCAAATATACAACTTTGTTCCGCTAACTTGAACTATAATATATATGCGAGAATTAATAGCTGTTGGCGGCCGGCGTGATAATTCAGGGGCACCCAACTACGGGTTTATCCCAAAAATACATTGAAAACGCTTTTTAGACTACATATATATATACAGATTACTTTTACATCTCTTGACATTTCATTCTAAGTGGTGCTAATGAATTTACATCTGTTCGGTGTCATCCTAGGGCAACTCAAGCCTTTTGTGAATTTACAATGGCCTCAGTATATTTTCTCGAAAACTTTGCGAAGGTGAGAATTTTTCCGAATATCAGCAGTTACAGTTGATAAGGCTGCGCAGTAATTTCGCAAAGAATCTCAGTTGCGTAAAAACTAGTGTTTCAGTCAAAAAGTATCACCGATCTGATATATTGAAAAAAAAAAAAAAACCGGCAAACGATCGCACGAAGACTTACCTTTCTTCTATGGCTCTTAGCATTTTTTGGACCTCCGAAAGACTGACCATCACATTATTTTTAGCTGATTTTCGCTGACGATGCAACAAGGTACGTTTTTCACCATCGCCAATTTTAGAGCTGTCATCAAACACTCGGTCGACAATTTGTTCTCTTTGACTTTGCTCGGACCGAATTTCATTCGTGGCAGAGAGGTGAGCCAAAATGGCACAGCACATCACAAACAAAGCCACGAGACGCAGACTGTAACGTGGAATTACTGTCGGGGAAGCTTTCATGGCGACTGGATGAGTCAGTACAACGAGTAATCCTTTGAATTTGACGCAGAATCAGATGAACCTTTTACTTAAACCACAACTGAATAGCTGTGATATATAGTAGCCAGATATCATAGGAAAGAACATCCGCCAGGTTAACATAAGCATGAAATTTTCCACGTTTGTGACGCAACACAGTCAGACGGAAGTAAACATGGAAGGGTGGGGTAAGGTGGGGGGAAGGGTTTGGAGTCGGGGATTAGGGCACTGTCAAAAAAATGGGAGTCCCAAGTAACGCAATTTTTTATGGAATGAGGGTATTGACTCGGCGGGTAGACCGCCTTCAATTTAGTTAGTATAGGTTAATTTGAATACTCTTTCATCCGACATGTGTTATGGTGCGTGATTCCCAATTCAATTTGCATCAATTGTCGAATGGCATAATCAAATATAGTGTCTTTTTTACATGCATATGATTCCCAGTGTTTTTACGGACGATAAGAACAACTTTTAATAAAAATTCATCCATACTAAGCTCTGAAGAATTGTTAATTTTATTTATCTTTTATACAGCACTGTGTTCTTATCACACTGTATTGCGCAGCATAATTCGCATTAATCGGCTCTACCTATAATACTACTGTCACTAAAAGTAAATACCAAATGGCAGTTAACAACGTTTGAGTAGCATTTTGTCAAGGCGTGATGGAAACCAGCAAGCTAAAATACGGAAGTAAAGTAGTTGCATCTTGCTGAAAGGATTGGTTTTTGTTTAACATTGTATATGAAAAACCATTGACAGCAATCGTGACATGAACATGATTCAGATCATTATGCAGTCAGTCAACCGGGGAAAGTGAACTTCAACTAGTAATACTTTACCCGTACAGAGACGAGAGAGAAGAAATGACTGTGCCTATTTTAATAAAGGGACAAACCGATTTTTCTGGTTCGAGAGCGCACTAACGTTGACCGTAACTATTTTCCACAATTTTCTAACCTAGTGGACAGATCTGAGTTCGACCCCGCGTAAAGGAGTACGTATACGCGCGAAAAGAAAACTGAAATACATAAACAAATAAATAAATAAAAATTATAAATAAAAAAGGAAGAAAGCAAAGAACTGAAAGCGGGTGATCCTGTAGCACGCTAACCTGTCATCAGTCGATCCTTCTTAGTTTTTCTGACCTCCCAATAATTCGTAGCCTGCGAATACAGCCGCCGCCGGAAACATTCGGCGGAAACATCCATTCACTGTGCGGGAAATGAATGAATGAGAAACGGCTGTATTCGCAGGCTAGACAATTTGGAACCGCCTTCTTCCAGTGACAGTAGCACGATGGAAAGTATTGAGCTCGATGAAATGAGTTTAGAATTGTCAGGAGCCTTTTGGAAATGAAGAACTAACACACTACCACTTGAAAGGACACGCAGAGTCACAACAGATCTTGGCCAGACTATTAGTATTAACCATCGGACGTACAAGCAAATTCATACCCCCACCGTGGTACAAGGGGGGAAGGGGGGTGGATGGAACCCCTCCCCTGAGTTTTGGATATGTTGCAGTATTTTGAAACGATTTTACCTTTAGTGGAAAGCCTTTGATCTTCTTCACAAGATGAGGTATATTTTATGGGTGGTGGCGCGGCTGGAGGCCTGTGATGTCACCAACAATGGTCGCCATCTTGGCCGCCATCTTGGATTTTACCAAGAATTGGAAATCAGGTTAAAACCGCAAGAAATGTTTTTTTTTTTTTTGTGCTTTGCATGAAAAAATAACACATAAATAAACACTTTGCATGATTTTAACCACATGATTTACTTTTATTGTTGAAAGAAGTTGGAAAAACATGTATGTTCACCCAAAATTGGCTTGACCACCTGCTACTTATGGCGTCATATCTCGTAACCATAGCAACGTGGACCATCACTAAAGTTGTCTCAACATTTCCTCTCCTCCTCTTTCGCTTTTCACTTTGTCTCCAAATTTTATACCCATAATATCCTGGTCGGGAAAGCTTACACAAAGTAGACGATCCTTCTCCTCAAGTTGATATTTCTGCATAGAGTTTATAGCTCAAGTCTGCTACTACCGGGAACTGAATACTTTCTGCTCGAGCTTGCTAATTCTGTCGTTCACATTCAGATATATCAACACTGTACCAAGTAGAAATCCCACGATACAAAACTAAAAGAAGGCGTGACACACGATAATCAAATTTCCTTTCTGACAGCGTCCGCATTGTCCGTTACTGATGGGATAGTTAACTTATCGTGCTCATCTCTTGAGTTCAAACTAAAACTATGCAAATTACTTCTCCACTTGCAGACAATCTTTGTTGTTGACGTGCTTAATTAGTTTAGACATTGTGTGTACGTATTTTTCAATCTTCTTTTAAGTGATAATGATGACGTCATAGCTCCCGCTCCAAAATCTAGCACAATTTCAATGAAATATAATTTGTTACATGCTAGGATAAGGCTTCTTAAAATTTATATTTGCAAAACGTTTTGACTTTTAACGCTTCGTGCTGGAGGCTGAAAACATGTTACATATCTTTGCTGTTTCTCGTTTAGCCTGTCCCAGGCGTTCAGATGGTGGAGCGCGAGGCGAAGCATGTGGGAAAATAGAAATAAGAAGGAAAGGAGGGAGAGAGGGGAAGGGGGTAAGGGAAAGAGAAAGGAGGTTCCTTCATTCTCGGCTTCATAGCTAAAACAATCGATTGTCAACAAAAGTGGACAAACTAGAGGAATGGTTCCGAACAGTTTGACTTGAAAATCATTGAGAACTCTTATGGGGGTGGTCGACCCCTGAAATACGATAGGAGCGTGCAGCCTAGGGTTTTAAGGTCCAGACCCGAAAAATCAAACATCAGTTTTTCAATAGGCTGCGTGTAAATGTAATAAACTCTAGGTTGCCAATTACAGTAATTACTCGAATAAGCACCTCTCTCAAATAAGCGCCGCATGGGGTTAATTAGCGCCGCGGCGCTTATTCGTGTAATTACGGTACTAAGCGGTATTTCTATGGTATTAAGCTCCGCTCTCAAATAAGCGCCGCGTTTTTGGAGAAAAAGTTAATAAGCGCCGCGTCGCTAACTCACGTAAATTTGGTATATTTGCTTATGCACTGTGAAACTTAACCTTTACAAATAAATTGCTTGTAAAGCGCAAAGTAACAGTATTTTTCTAAAAAAGCAATATTTAAGCAATACAAAACTTTTTTCCTGTGTTTGCATAGCCTAATATAAACACTTGAGGGGTTGGGAGAATTCGAGACAGTTATGCAGACCCTCGACGTGTCGAGTTTTCAACTCAAAAACTTTTTAAAATTCGTGCTTGTGTGATTAGTGTGCGAAGAGCAAAACATCTTGACTCCACACGTGTTTACATACTCTCATGCACACACATCTCTCGGCCAATCAGAGAGCGCGCGTACTATCTTAGTTATTTATAAACGTTGTTATCAGCTGCGCAGTATTCTTTTAGACTTCTCGTTTTTCGTTCTTAATCAGTTTTAGCTGATTAGATCTCTTCTCTAGAGATCCAACGTTGACAAGCAACAGGATCTTCGTCCACGTTTTTTCCTTCGCTTTTCTTGCGTTATTTTTTTTTCTTTTTGCTGGGCATTTAGTAGGCTTCATTTTGGTGGGAAAAAAACGCTTTTCGGTAAGCTATACAATTTACTGAGGATTTTGCGATTTTAGTTTCTCAAGTTGAATGTTGGTTGCTCAACTTACATGTTGTGTATACAATTAGAATGCAGCGCGCTCAATTTTCAAGAACGAGTGATCATGTTAAATGTTGGGCGTTTAATTAAGTTGAATTATTAACTTTGAATGTTGAAACGTGAAGTTGAAAGTTGGGTTCTCTAACTTAATGTTAGCCGCTCAAGTTGAATGTTAAGTACTCAAGTTGATTTTTGGCGGGGATTGAACATCATAATTATATATCCCGACCAGACATCCATATTTTGGGACCACGTGATTTGCCGCGTCCCTTTTCATGGGAGGAAGAGAAGGGGTACTGGGAAGGAAGATGGTTTGACGTTTGAAAAAGGCCTAATTGGTCTATTTAGTGGCTGGTAGCTTCGCCGGTATTGAAATGTGACTGTGTAAGTCATGAGTGGAAAAAAAATCATTTCATTTATTTTGATAATTCAACAGTTACCAACAGATTCTGAATGCTGACGTGTATTAGCTTATCGTGTTAAGCGATTGAACTCTTTAGCCCTTTCATCATGTAGCGAAGGAGACAAATTTCTCGTTGCCATGGATTTACCAATTAATTTCTCTTATGATTTACTCAAGCTACTTTCCACCAATGTGTCTGCTACTTTCCGCTAATGTGTCTGGCTGAACTGAAATAATCAGCAACTGAAAATGGGCTGCTTTAAGCAGATGATGTGTTTAAATTTTCTGAACGAGGTTTTCAAATCAATACAGTTCATTTTAAAAATCACATTTTGCCCCTTGAAACCCACAGTAGAAAAAAAATTCTCTCTTTCACTTGGTGCACACAGCACAAGTCAACTCTCGACCGTTGACATATGGACCACATGGTAGGTTGCCACACACTCCTTCCACAAAATAGAGTAATGCACCGTTCTTGTTTGCCTGGCTGCCAGGAATAGACTCAGCGTCTTTGTCAACGCAGATGAAATCATGTTGCTTCTTGTGGCCATAATCTTCAGTCATCAGGTACCCATGATACTCCTCGGTCCATCCAGTGGGGCAATCGTTCCTTGCGGGCATCAACAGCATTGAACCACGTGACTGGACAAAGCAGACAACACAAGGTGGATCATGTTGGTTAAGACTTTTCTTGAAAGGGTTAAACGAGAGTTCGTACTCAGCGCCGTATACGCGTCCGCCACCCTGGTGGCCATCTTTGTACCTGTCGTACTTTGGAGTCTTTGGAAGGCAAAGGTAGTTAACTCCACCTCCAGTGTGAGTGTAATGCTCTCCACCCATGATACCTAATAAGTAGAAAAGTTAGGGATAAGTTAACTCAATTCAACTAAAAACTCTGAAAACATCTATTCATGAAGTTAAGTGAATGACTTGTGACTTTAGAAATTCCAGTCATGAAGAATAACACATTCAAACTTGTGAGTAACAGTGTTGCGAACCGTCTTACTGCTTTCCGAAAAACGCATTAACTTAGGGTAGATTGAACATAATAGCTTTGCTGGGCAATGTACCTTTGGTCCTAACAGGCTACCAAAATATATAAGCTTCGAAATAGTAAATTATAATTATATATAGTTGTGAGGGATTCATAAAATCCTTGAACATGGTATCTCCGTCCCGTTGTTAGAATAAAGAAAATGACGAGATATTGGCACCAATTTGTTTCTGTTTCCTTGTTACTTGGATTTTGCTTTTGTTGGATTTATGAATTAAATGAAGGACAAAGTCATCCCCTTTTTGTACCTTTATAGACAATCTGAGCACCATTAGGGCATGAGGTCTTTCCCCAGCGAACATACTTCACCCCAGAATTGGCAGCTTTTCCTCTATCGCCTTTAACTCCCTGAGCTCCCTTAACCCCTTTAGGACCTAGAGGGACACAATTACGACAATCATTAACAATAATATTTATTCCTATGACAATGTTTATCATATGGGAATACTTCAGTGAAAATTTACATTTTGATTAGCTAAGATCGGAAGAATAATACTGCAACAAAAGCTGAGAGGCTAAATTACAAAAGCCAAACATTAGACATTAACTTGAGTTTATCACGGACTAATTTGATGATATAACTGTAAAGATGAGGTAAGCTTTCTAGCCTTGCTTCCTTCTTACTGACAGAACTGTAACTAAGACCCTGTTTACATGGAGTGGGGGACCCCGGTCTTGTGGGGTAGGTTTCTTTTGTTTTGTGTCTCCCAGAGTGTGAAAACAAAAGAAACCAACCCCACTAGATCGGGGTCCCCCACTCCATGCAAACAGGCCCTAAGAGAGATGGTACAGCTGTATTAAAATGGGCACCTCCATTTAGCAACCTCATTTATAATTCGAAATAGTCCATTAGTTTTATTAATGCCCTCCTAGTTAAATTAGCTTTTAGATATTTTCTATGAGGCAGCCCTAAACCTTACAAAAAGTAGACAACTGGTAACGCCGACATAAAGCAGTAGACGAATCTTGCTTACCTCTTACTCCTGGTTTCCCTGGGGGTCCAGGTGGTCCCATTAATTGTTTTCCTTTATTGCGGCCATCTCGCACTGAAGCACGTATAAATTTAAGAGATACAACATGTATGTTCAAATTAAATAACAATATAATAGCAAGAGATATTTAAGCGTTACATTGCGTCATTTAATTAAATAAAAGCGGCTTAATGGATAAGCTAAAAACCAGAATGCACCATACCCAACATTGAAAAATGAAGCCAAATTTTCTTAAAGTAAAAGACCTTATAATTGCGAGAGAACTGGGAATCGTCTTTCGATGTTGTTTGTTTGTTTGTTTGTTTTTGTTTTCTCTTTTGTGGTTCGTTAGTTATTAGTTCGTTCGTTCGTTTGTTGGTTTGTTTGTTTGTTTGTTTTTTTCGCCAAAGGCTGTCAGCCCAATTTTTAGTTTGGGCAGCATTTGCTTGTGCTCTGTTACACGATCAATTAATTGGCTCGTCAGTTTGGCCATTCCTTTTTTTAACACTAGTGTACAAACCAAGTAGGTAGGACAATAGTGACGAGTCACTTGAGTGGGGTGTTTGCACCAATGCGTCAAGTCTGTAGAAAGATAAATTCATTGTTAAATCGCAAAATTATATTACATGTATAACCAAAGATTAACAAGAAACTGTGAAGTTTCCATGGATAATTGATTAATTCACTAACAGTATACGCACCGTTTTATAAACCGCTTTTCCATTTCTTGAAGTCGCTTTTCCATCAAGCTTGCACTTTTATTGTGTCTGTCAAGAAAAAAAAAACTCAAAATAAGCCACTGTTTGAACACATTAAGCGTTAAATAATAATTATATTTACATTATCTCTGACACTCATCGCTATCAGGTATAAAATCCCAACTATTACAGACTAGCAGTCATCTTTTATTCGTAACTTAATTCTTACTTAGCTTTGGATCGGTCAGAAATAAAGCAAAACAAATGTCATTGCAATTGAGATTCGACGATGAACCTATAATGAAACGAACGTCACAACCGATAACGAGAAAAAATAAACCTACGGAGAGATGAAAATGAAGGAAAAAGAAGGAAATGGTAAAGGATTAGGAATGGACGGACGAACGAACGAACGAACGAACGAACGAACGAACGAACGAACGAACGAACGAACGAACGAACGAACGAACGAACGAACGAATGAATGAATGAATGAATGAATGAATGAATGAATGAATGAATGAATGAATGAATGAATGAATGAATGGATAGGATGGATGGATGGATGGATAAATGGATGGATGGATGGATGGATGGATGGATGGATGGATGGGTGAATGAACGAATGAAAGAATGAATACAGGAAGGAAGGAAAGAAGGAACAAAGGAATGGATGGATGGAGGAGGAGAGGGAGGGAGGGAGGGAGGGATAAACTAATCACCGCCTGAAACTAACTAACTGATCGCGGATTTTTTGATTGGTCGACTTAATTTGCTATACTTACTATGAATTAATGCCCGACTGGTGAAAGACTAACTGGAAGTGTTCGTGGTGGTTAATTATTTGCTACAAGCCTGCCCTGTTTAGGTTTCTATCGGTGTCGTGTTAATGTCTTCCAAAGTTTATATCAACTTAACACGATCAGCTTTGCAGATTTATGTTCTCTTGGTATATTTTTGCTTATCAGATTTCCTTTAGATCCTACGTCCTGCGAAATATTCGCCTGCGGTCCTTTGAAGTTATGCCATCTCAGTTGTTAAATTTTAGCTAAAACCCCTGCTAGAAAATTTCACTGTATTCAATGGACTAAAGATACGGAGAGATCGATTATTGAAATAAGCTTCCTTTTCGAAAAGGCCTCTTTTTGGGGCTATTACTTTTTTTCGATTTTTTGTCTTTTGCCTGGTATACGTCTTCTTCATCAGTACTTATAGATCCATTCGGTGGTGATATTTTTCTTTATGGCTCTTTCATTTTACTCAGTTTAGACTGTTTATGAAAGTTGCTCTTTCTGCCAAGTTTCGATGTCTCCATAGATCACACGCCTTGTGTTTTAGACGCTCTCTTGCAAATATAAAACTTTTTTCCACTAACTATGATATATTTGCGAGAATTAATAGCTGCTGGTGGCCGGCGTGATAATTCAGGGGCACCCAACAACGGGTTTCTTCCAAAAATACATTGAAAACGCTTTTTAGACTATACATACGTACAGATTACTTTTACATCTCTTGACATTTCATTCTAAGCGGTACTAATAAATTTACATCTGTTCGGTGTCATCCTAGGGCAACTCAAGCCTTTATTGAATTTACAATGGCCTCAGTATATTTTCTCGAAAACTTTACGAAGGTGAGAATTTTTCCGAATATCAGCAGTTATATAGTTGATAAGACTGCGCGGTAATTTCGCAAAGAATCTCAGTTGCGTAAAAACTAGTGTTCCAGTCAAAAAGTATCACCGATCTGATAAATTGAAAAGAAAAACCGGCAAACGAAGAGCTTACCTTTCTTCTATGGCTCTCAGCCTTTTTTGTACCTCCAACAGACTGACCATCACATTATTTTTAGCTGATTTTCGCTGACGATGCAACAAGGTACGTTTTTCACCATCATCAAACACTCGGTCAACAATTTGTTCTCTTTGACTTTGCTCGGACCGAATTTCATTCGTGGCAGAGAGGTGAACCAAAATGGCACAGCACATCACAAACAAAGCCACGAGACGCAAACTGTATCTTGCAATTACTATCGGGGAAGCTTTCATAGCGACTGGATGAGTCAGTGCAACGAATAATCCTTTGAATTTGACGCAGAAACAAATGAGCCTTTCACTTACGCCACAACAGCAAAGCTGTGATATATAGTAGCCAGATATCATAGGAAAGAACATCCGCCAAGTTAATATAAGCATGAAATTTTTCGCGCTTGTGACGGAACACAGTCAGAAGGAAGTAAAAATGGAAGGGTGGGGTGAGGTGGGGGGAAGGGTTTGGGGTCGGGGATTGGGGCACTGTCAAAAAAATGGGATTCCCAAGTAACGCAATTTTTTATCGAATGAGGGTATTAACTCGGCAGGTAGAACCCCCTTCAATTTAGTTAGTATAGGTTAATTTGAATACTCTTTCATCCGACATGTACTATGGTGCGTGATTCCCAATTCAATTTGCATCAATTGTCGAATGGCATAATCAAATATAGTGTCTTTACATGCATATGATTCCAGTGTTTTTACGGACGATAAAAACAACTTTTAATAAAAAATGCATCCATACTAAGTTCTGAAGAATTGTTAATTTTATTTATCTTTTATACAGCACTGCGTTCTTACCACACTGTATTGGCTCTACCTGTAATACTACTGTCACTAAAAGTAAATACCATATGGCAGTTTTTGATTAGCATTTTGTCACGGCGCGATGGAAACAAGCGAACTAAAATACGGTAGTAAAGTAGTTGCATCTTGCTGAAACGATTGACTTTTGTTTAACATTGTATATGAAAAACCATTAACAGTAATCGAAATACATGAACATGATTCAGATGATTGTGCAGTCAGTCACCTGAGGAAAGCGAACTTATTAGTAATACTATATCCGTACACAGACGGGAGAGAAGAGATGACTATGCCTATCTTAAATAAAGGGACAACCTGATTTTTCTGGTTCGAGAGCGCACCAAAGTTGACCGTAACTAAAAAAAAGAACTGAAAGCGGGTTATCCTGTAGCACGCTAACCTGTCGTCAGTCGATGCTTCTTAGTTTTTCTGACCTCCCAATAATTTGTAGCCTGCGAATACAGCCGCCGCCGGAAACATTCGGCGGAAACATCCATTCAATGTGCGGGAAATGAATGAATGAGAAACGGCTGTATTCGCAGGCTAGACAATTTAGAACCGACTTCTGCCAGTGACAGTAGCGCGATGGAAAGTATTGAGCTCGATGAAATGAGTTTAGAATTGCCAGGAGCCTTTTGGAAATGAAGAACTAACACACTACCACATGAAAGGACACGCAAAGTCACAACAGATCTTGGTCAAACTATTAGTATTAACCTTCGGACGTACAAGCAAATTCATACCCCCACCGTGGTACAAAGGGGGGGG